GGGTCTCCTCAGGGTGCCGTCGGCCAAGCAATGTCGGCTGGCGACCCCCAGGGGGAGGGCCTTCTCTGTGGGTGCCCCTGCCCTCTGGAACGAACTACCCCCTGAGATTCGGACGATTCCGGATCTCCTTACTTTCCGTCGCGCCCTCAAGACATGGCTTTTCCAGCAAGCGGACCTGGCCTAGGGAGGATTTTATATTGGGTTCATTTTAAGGAATTTGTAAACAACACAACTCTAAAATTTGGTTTAATTCGGTTTTATAGGGGGGGATTGTATATACACCTTTGTTTTAAATATATGTTGTGAGCCGCCCTGAGTCCCGTCCAGGAGAAGGGCGGGATATAAATTAAAATAAATAAATAAAATAAATAAATAAATAAAACCCTCAGGCTGCACACTGAAATCCAAACTACAAAGAATATTATTTCTACAAAAAAAAAAATTTGAGAAAACTACTTACCAACTCCTCTGAATCTTCTGCAGCTATAATTTCCAGCAACATATTTTCTCCATGACTGCTTTGCTGAAATACTTGCACCCCACTTTTTTTCAGACCAAACTAGGACAAGGGAAGAAAGACAGTATTTACTCCAAAAGAGGACCTCTCCCCTCAAATTACAAAAAACAAAATCCTGGGAAATACCATAATAATGCTAGGGATCCCAACTCCTGAAAATTCCTCTGCTGCATAGGACATGCCCATATATTCACATATATGCATGTGAATGCATATATGTGAACACACATATATGCATTCACAAACACACGCAATATGTTATACTCACCATCACACACAAACATACACACATACACAAAGCATATATATATATATAGTCTTTGATGTATATATTCTTATGTACCAAAACTACACTTCAATCAGTCACTAAATAGTAAGGGCCATGACTAAAATAATTAAAATGAAATTATATCTAGTTCAAGCTGTCGGTAAGTAAACAAGCCAACTGAACCCCATATGCATCTGTTTCAAACCCATTCAAGCCACCTCACACTCAGAAACATAGAAGTACAACTACATATATTCTCTTTCGTCTTTTCAGCAGAAATAGCAAAAGAGAAAAATGAAGATGAGCTTGTGAGAAAAGATAGCTATGCTGGAGAGAAAAGTAAAAACAAATTTGGATGGAGATGAAGGGAGAGGAAGTAGACATGGACAGGGCTGGAGAGAAAAGAAAGGAGCTCTGTTAGACATTAGAAAAAGGATACATATCACATTTTACATTTTACCTTGTGATTAATGTGTTTTAGAGTAGGAAAGCCACAAAAATATAACTTCTCGGTATCTAATTGAGTTATTTTATTATCGGCTATATCCACATGCCAAGCATCTATAGACACAGCTTCACACCTACATAAAAGAAAGAAAATAAATTAAACTGCAGATAAGCCACTAATCATCATTATGATCATGAAGACATTGATGTTATGGGTGTGTATGCGTGTGTTAACAACTTTGAACAGAAGAATGCAAAACAATAATGCTGAAGCCAAGAGCTTTCCTACGCAGGTATAGGTAGTTCTCGACTTATAACCACGACTGAGCCCAAGATTTGAGTTGATAAGAAATGATTCTGTTTCCTTCAGAAGTTCAAGGTGGTGCATTTCTGTCTCCACTTTTAATTTATCCTTTGCATTGACAACAGAATTCTATAGACTTACCTAGTATGACACTTTTCTATGGAAAGGAACTTTTCTGGCC